CACTACACAGCCAAACTGAAGTTACTCAGGGCAGGGTGGAAAGCTTTGCTGTTGTTACCCTTTATTAGATACAGCTTCACCCCCATAAGTCCTTCCCTGAGCACCATCTAATAACAAACTGTTGAGGGAAAAGCAATATGCATCCAAAGAATCAGCTCCATACCCTGGCAGCCTGAAGGCTGCTGTCCCATAAAAACCAAAGTCCAAGCTCTCAGGTGCCTCCCTTCAGATCCAAGTTACTTGAGGCTATTTCCCTTTGTTTTCTATTCCAGAAGTTTCTAGACGCCAGCAAACATATTTCAGCACCCATTTTATGCCCCAAAGCAAGAGTACACAACTTGCCAAGCTGAACAAATGAGGTTTTAAAAAATTTTAAAATTGACAGCATTCAGCTGCCTCCAAATACTCTGCTTCATCCTGCAAGGGCAGCAACTCAAACACCTGACTTGGTTACCTTCAGGTCCATCAATTATTTAGACTAAGCTCCTTTCCAGAGAGACTCAAGTATCAATTATTTAGTCTTTGAGCAGGAAACAAAAACTGTTAAGAGAGGAAAACAGACTTCTGGAAAGGGCTGTTGGGACACATGAACACGTTTGAGGCTGTAGACAAACAACCTGCCTGAATCAGTACGAGAATGCCAAAATAGAACAGCCCCTAAAGCCAAAAGCTCACATGCACACACGAGCTCATCAAGTGCCAGAGCCAATTAGTGCCAAAGAGCCCCAACTACATCAGGGGGTCTCAGGACAGCTCTTCCCATGGAAGACCTTTATCAGTTTGGTATAAATGCCTGTTCTCTAGCCCAGGAGCATAAAATAAAGACAAGCTCTTTTCTAATACTCCAGAAGCCCTTTTACAACACCAAGACAACATTCAACCACACTCACTACAAAGATCAAGGGGAAGCAGAGCCATGGGTTTATTACAGCCTTGCCTTTCCCACTCAGGTTCAGATTAAGAACGAAGACAGGCCTAAGATTTTCAGGTTCTGCAGAACTTCTAAAGACAATGACACAGCAAGAGCTCTCAGAGGAAGCACAGATAAAGCATTCATCTTAGGTATGAGCAGAAATCCTTCCACTCACACATATCACACATAAGCTGTGGTACAATGAAAAGGACAAAGCACTGTTGCTTGGCTCCCAAAGAGTTGAAGAAAGACAGGAAACACTGGAGCAAAACAAGTGCTGATCCCTCCCCCCTGCCAAATAGGGATTGAGACACACTTTGGATCAGAAAAGAAAATATACCTATTTTTAAACCCAGTTAAGAGCCCTGGGTTTGGATACAGTTCCTATTGAGGCCAGCATATTTTATTTTCACTTGTTAAAGGTTTTCTGCACAAGTGATAACAGAATTCACATGTGAATAACCAAGCAGAGTGATTCTTCTATCTGAGGGCTTCAGTTCCAAGAGTTATGTCAGATTGGTCAAAAAAGTTTAGCAAAAGCCTGGCCATTCAAGGCAGCTGTTTCAACTACAAACATCACAATCTCTTATGCAGTCAATTTTTAAGGATCACTACTTTTGCAGGTGATCCTCAACACCTGCACTTTGCTATTATCCTCACCTGTGACATTCCCCAAAATAGAAGAATTTCCCAACAATGATTTTTCAGCTGACCATCTGAAAGCAGATTTCATCCAGAATAAAGTTGTTTTACAACACAAAAAGAAGTTCAAATATGACATTCAGCTATAGTTAAGTAGTTAAATTGCACATTTAAAATTAAGTCATCAGAGCTTAGACATTTCAGCCCTTCCCCTTCTTTTTAGATTGCGGAATCAAAATTCAGATTCCCGTATTCTTGGGAAGAGCCAAACTGTTACTCCTTAAAACCCACACATACCTAACCTTGATAAGCTTTAGTCTGACTACCTCTGACGTTGTTCTTAACCTTCATGAGATACTTTTGACTGAGAATGAGCAAAAGAATTCAAGAGAAGGATCCTGCTCCTGTCCAAACTGTGCCAGGGGCTGAAGGCAGCATCAGGAACTCCACCCAAGCCACCAACAGCAAAGCTTTGGAAGAGCCAAAGACTTGAGGACTGGGGCAATACCAGAGAGGAAGACACATGACCATTCTTTGGATCTAGAATATAACCTCTGCATCTAGAAATAACTTCTGCTTAATTCCCCTTTAGTAACAGCCTGCACCATTTACTGTTGGAGGGTCTAATTTACTTTGTCTGAGCGACTTCAGCTTGAAGCAAAATGCAAACCACAACACGTTCATGGATTTTGTGAAGTGCAGCTCTCTTAGCGTTAGAAATGTACCACAGGTGGCAAAGTGTGAGAGTCTGTTCTACCAAAAAACAGGAAGTTTTGACACAGGAAGCCACAATGCAAAGCAACATGGCACAGAGAGCTCACAAGTGTGCCCAAAATCCACACATTTTTTCCATACCCCACCCAGGTCAAATTTTTCGTAAAAGCAAAAGAATAAAGGGAGGATCTGTGGAACAGTTTTGACAATCATTCTGTGAACTCCACTTCCCCTCACACACACCCCAATGAGAATTCTGAACTAACACAGGGACATCAAAACAAGCGTTTAATTTATTCACACTTATCAGTGCTCACTGTGCCACACCTAATTCACAATGAGAAACCTGACAGACTAAGAGAATCAATTGTAGCAGTTTGTCAGCAGAAAAATTCCTCTTTTTTCCAAACACCCATTTACAGGTAATGGCACATTAGTAGCCACCCAATAAAGCTTTATAAACTAAATAAAAAAACCCTCTAAGAAAATCAGAGGTCAGCCTCAAAACAATCCAATATTTCTCAGTTATTCATTAGAAACATACAATAAACCCATTCATCATCCAGATATAACCAGATTCACAAGACACCATGTCAACAATTTTCTTGCTACACCCAAGAACAAAAAGTTATGCCTTCAATACCAAGGAAAGTATCCCAATTAAACAGCATCTTAGGGCTCAGAGCAAGGGCTTTTTATGGTCCTTTCATTAAGTATTACAAGGCCTAACACCAGTAAAAGGCAGCCCAGAACACACCCCCTTGCAGTGCTGTGAGGTATGAAACCCATGCGAGGGCTCTGCACAGACACGGCTCTGAGCAAAAGATCACACTGTTTCCTTCTTTTCTGCCACCCTCTGCTCCCCACAAGGAGGAGGAAGGACAGGAAAGAGGCTTTAAACGGGAAAGTTGGTCTACAATGCACTAAATGTCACACAAAGCCTGTGCCCAGAAACAAGAAGAAGACTTAAATGGGTTTTCTCCTGATTCGGGGACCGGAGATAATGCTACAACACAAAGGGAGCTACAAAGGAAGCTAACTGGATCAACTTATACTAAAAAAAAAAAAAATAATCACACAGAGCACACACCACCCAGAAAATCAGCTTTCCATGATCATGATTTAGACCCAGACTGCACCTTCAGCAAGTACACCTAGGAACAAGATCAACAAACATAAAACAAAATGCCAACTGTGAAACTTACTTGTTTTTACTTGTAACTTACATTGTTTTTTTTTAATATAAACACACTTACAAACTCTTGGAAAGCTATTCTAAAAATTCCTGTTTCAGTGGCATTATAGTTTTGAACAAGACAACCTTTTAAGGACAGGCAACAAAACTATATTCCATCCTCCAAGAACAGAGCTAAAAGGATATAGGTCAAACCCTAAAAGTGCTTTCTTCCAGTGTCATCAACCAAAGGATAAAGAACACCATTCTACAAACACAAGTGTCCTGAATTCCTCTAAAAAACCCAAACACACAATCCAAATCCAAAGTTGCAAAGCAGTTTCCACCACAGCTCGTTCCCACTTCACACCAGTGACTAGACGTGAATTCCCACCTGATCCCTTCTCTCTGCACACAATTCTTCAGTCAAGCAGATGCTGCTAGCACCTCAACCTTCCACACCAAAAGCTTCACACATTTATTGTGAGTATAAAATGTCTCAGGACTGATGCCTTACTCCCTGCTGGAGACAGCCAGGAGAGAGATGGATCATCTCACCAGAGAGCACTTAGGAACAAGACACACCCTGTGCTTTCATTCTCTAGGAACTGCTCTCCTTCCATTTCATCCAGAGTTCTAGGTCACAAGGCTTATGTCACTGTAACAAACAAACAAAAACCCAACCAAACTAAAAAGCAGCGCGGGAAGAATTTTGTTCTGCCTGTTATTTTAAAACATCCTTCACATCTCCACCACCACCTCCCTGGAAGATCCAATAAAGAAAGGAAAAACCACCCAAACAGGTAGCTCCTTTTACAGCATGGGATAGGTTTCTTCGTGAGGTTTTTTTGTTTGTTTTTTTTTTTTTTTTTTTGTAAATTCAAAATGTCTCAAAACGCTAAATCTACATAGAGCACGGAACATAAAGCAAGAGCCAAAACGGAACTGACCACGGAGCATCACCTCTGGTACCCCGCGCTCCACGGCCGGGCCTGCTACGACAGAAGGCTGAAAGGGGGGACAGAGAAGTCGATCGCTACCACAGCCGACAGCCAAATTAAGTTAAAAGATTTTAAAAATTAAGTTACGGGCCTCAGCCCTTACGCCCACTGGGCCGTGTCTCCCTCTAAACACCGGGGGCTTAGGGCAGGGGTCGGCAGCCGCCGAGGCGACGGCAGAGAAGGGAGTAGGCGAACTCTGGCTGCAGCACTCCGAAAGGCCTTTTTCTGTTATTTTAATTTTTGTTATTATTACTATTTTTCTCCCTCGTGGCACCTCAGCGAGACACGCTAGCGCGAACTCCCAGAGGAAGCCTCACCCGGCCTCTCGGGCTTCCTTTAATGGGAAGGACAATGGCAGGGGCTCGCCACAGCCCGCACCGCCAGGAGGCTCCGGCAGCAGGCAGGGGCTGCTCCCGCCCGGCCCGCCGGCCCCGGGGATGCTGCAGGGCGCGCACTGCTCCGGGGAGAGGGGCACAAACGCCGGCGTTCCAAGACGGGGAAAGCAAGGGGCACTCCGGACGGCGCGACCCCGGGGCAGAGGGCGGGCGGCACTCACCGGGGCAGGCGCCTGCTCGCTAAGTTTCGCCGAGCTGGGCGGAGGGTGAGGCGGCGGTCGGCGTAGGTCCCTCGGCTGCCTCGGCTAGTCCATGGACACGGCAGCACTGCCGGAGCCTCCTCCCCGCGTCAGCTCGGCCGGAGCGCCAGGCGTGCCCGCCGGGCGTGCCCTTGTGCCGAGCCGCCCCGCCGCTCTCCCGCCGGGCCCGGCCGCGCGGAAATGAACGGCCCGGCCCCGCCCGCTCCGCGCTCCACACAAAGGGGGCGTGCAGGAAGCCCGGCTCTGCCTCCGGGCCCCGCGGCTCCCGCCGGGACCGCCCGGCAGGCGCCCCTCCAAGCACCTCCGGGGCCGGGCGGGGGCTGAGGGCGGCCCCCGTCCCTGGCGGTCCCTCTCCCGCAGCCCTGCGAGCGCGGCCCCTCGGTGGGGCCCGCGGCTTTGTTGTCCCGGGCTCATTCGTGGCCGGGTGCCTGCGGCCCCCGCCCCGGCCCTGCGTACGGGGCTCGGCCCAGCCCAGCCCGCCCCGGCCGCGCCTCAGCCCGCAGGGCTCCGGAGCGTGAGCCGGAGTATCAGAGACAGCACATGCCGAGCGATACTGCAGGCACGGCCGAGCCTACCTGGAGAGCCGGAAAGCGAAAGAAACGCGCATGAAATAAAATGATCCTGAAGAGTATTTTGAGTCTTCGGGCGTCCCAGGGCTTCTACGCCTCCCGAGAGAGACGCTGAGAAGAGAGGAGGAAGGGGAGGGTAGGGCTGAGCTGTTTAAAGCCGTGCAGTTAGCGGGTGATAGCTCCCACCTGAGGCAGAAGGGAAATGCTCCCCTGCCGTCTCGCTTGGCTCCCGACCTCCACGCTCCCCTTCTGTTCCCTTTCCACACCTTGTGATCTCCCTTGACCCTGGTAAACATTTCTGTCACCTTCATTCCCATCCTCATACATAAAGCAAAAGTAATGTCTTCGGTGCTTCGCTGTGAAAATACATTTGTGGCAGGAAGGCAAGGCCAAGGGAGGTCGTGCAGCACCACCGTGTTCTTACCGGCTGCCTCATATTATCTACGCTTTCTTCACCTGCTCCAGCCCTTGGACTTGGAGGAATTCCTCATTCCCCCGGTCAGGAACAAGCCTGCTCACAAAGACAGCAGCAATCGCACTGAAGCGAAAGGAACTGTTGCGCAATCAAATGATGTGAGCTTAGCACTTCTCTAGTGTGCTAATTCTCCACTCATCAGAGCTGCCAACCAAAAGCGTGCTAGAATTTATAGTAAATGCATATTTCTCCTCATCCGACCCCTTCTGATGTCTGACAAAGGAGATAGACACCCGTGTGTCACCCACTCGCCGCTCACATGATCAAGATTCCTTCTCATTACCCACATGCAGTTGTTTAAATAAATGGGGGGTTGGGTTTGGTTTGGGTTTTTGTTTGGTTTTGGATTCTTTTAAAGGGAGGGAGAGTATTTACCAGCCTCCCCCAAGCTTGCTCAAGCCTTCTTAGAAACCAAAGCAAAATTGAACTGAGTGTTAAAGCTGGCAGAAGATGCTAGAAGAACTACCTGAATTTTGAGCAGAATCTAAGAGGGGAAGGGGAGCTCAGAGAAGTCACTGGATTATCAGATGGTAAGAAGAACTAAAAGAGATCCTTTCTCCATCTCAGAAGTACTGAAGTAATCTCACAGAGCACTGAGTCACATCACCAGAAAGTCCAGAACCAAGGCAGAAAGCTCTAACATGCTGATTCTGTAAGAGATAGGAAGATGGCGCAATAGTAACTTCTAAGATTCAGTGGGGAAAATGGGAAATTTCAGGGAAATGCAGCAGCTTTAGGATGTGAGGACTGTGGAATTAGGAAGGGCATTTGTCGATAAAATAAGGTTCTCTTGCAATTTACTATTTGTAAGATCGTTAGTGTTAGCAGTTCACAGCATATTTTAATTGACTGTGCTCACTGTTAGCATGGAGCTGGTTCCAACAGCCTCTCTGTGTCCCATTTATTTGCCTTTGACATTATCTCTGCACAGTGCTTCACTGTGTTGCCAGAAAAATTGGAGTAAAAATCTCATCCATCACAGAAACCATTAACTAAGTGCTAGGGCAAATTGGAACACTTTTAAAAGACAGTCACTTCAGCAGTAAGAGGTGTAATAATCCTGCAGGAATGAAAATAGGAAATCTGATTTTTTAAGTGAATATGTGCAGGCCGATATTCATGTGTGGTTTGTTAATCTTGTTTCCCTCTGACTACTACAAAACGTTTTCTAAAATAAATGAAATCTTTATGAGGGGTAGCTGGTGGAAACTGGCCTGATCAGAGCTGTTCACCACTGTGTATGTTCAACATTATCACCAAATAGCATTTTTCAGTGTAAAAACAGTCTATTTATGGAGGGAGGCATCCAGAAATCAGAGTTACAGTTGGAATTGTCATGTGGTTTTGATAATTATGAGCTTAAGAGAGAGGGGTGTGCAAGGAAACAAAGCCCACAGAAGCTACTGAGAGACCTTAAGCAACTTCAAATACAAAGAAATCAGTCGCTGGATCTAAAAGAGAAAGCAGAAACATTGTAGGGAAAGCCTTTGTAACACGTTCGAGATCGATTAGAAGACTAATAAATTAGCATGGAACTGGCCAGACAGCCAGTGACATTCGAGGGGATCCGGCTGAATCAGTGATTTGAGTTTGTCCTCATTCCCAGAGCGTTTCCCCACTCCCCCTGCTGTAAGCGGCGGCTGCCGCAGCTCTCGGCTCCGGTCCCCCCGAGCGGCCCCGGACAGTCCCTGCGACAAAGGCAGCCACGGCAGGAGCGGAAATTAGTACCCAAAACCGCAATAGGCTAAATGTTGTAATTATCGTCGTGAGTCTGCTAATAATTTATTCCCTCCACTTAGAAATATCCATATACCATAGGCTCTGTCCGTCAATACAGTATATCCTTCCTCCAAGTTTCTTAAAAGGAAAACGTCCACACAAGTGAAAAGATGGCAGGAATAGATGTCTGTTCCCACAGCTTCCTTCCAGCTGAACCCGACCCTACGGCGGTCTGCTCCTGGAACCTGTGCAGCAAATCTTCCACTGCAGAAACCCCTCGGCTTCACCGCTCCCCTGCACTTCGGCTGGGTAGCAGTGACATCCAGCGGTGCGGAGAGAAACAGAAACTTTTTTTTTTTTTTTTTCCCTACCACAGTGCATCACAGGAAACGCATCAGAAAATGGCAGGGATCCCTTGGCATTCCCGTCTGGTTGTGGATATTCGCGGATGGCACCAAGGACAGGCAGTTTGACAGCGCTGGAACAGATAACGCGCACGGGGAAACAAAGATGCGGAGCCAAAAGCATCCTCTGGGGCAGATAATCTTTCTAATGGCCCTAAAAGGACACTGCAAATAGGAAATGCAACTGGGGATCCCTAAGGTTCAAATAAAAAGCACTTTCTTATATTACACCTACATAAATTCATAGCATTTTCATTCATGAAATACTTACAGTAAACCCAGCTATGTGCTGAAGAAAAGATAGATGAACTGACAAACAAGGAAAAGTTGATTGAAAAAAAATTCCTACAGCAGAGTTGTGTTTCTCAAGCCCTACCCTTGCACCTTTTGCACTTTCCTACTCACCTGATCCATCTTCAACCTTAAAGATGAAAATAAACAGAATATCATTCTGCATGAGTGCAAAATGCACATCTCAGAATAAGAAACAAACTTTTAATTATTAGTTTCCAGTAACTAGCTGTGTGTTAAAGTATGATGTGATATTTGATGTGCTGAGAAGTGGTTTAGATTTTGGGTACATGCCATGTTAAAAGAAAAGAAATAACAACATTAAATGCATACAAGGAACTGGACCAGCAGAGGTAGCTGTTAGCACAACAAAATTAACAACTGTAATTTATTTTTTTTTTCAGTGGACATTCTAAATTCAGTCTGCAGTACTGGAAATTCACTTAGATGTAATTTGTCCCTCCTTTACTATTTTGCTCTAATTTTACTTGATTTTTGAAAGACAGGGTTAGAAAATTTTAAAATGCACATAAGCTTCTATAACTTTCAAATCAAGAAGTGCACCAACTGTTTATGGGAAATAATACTGTTTAGAGCAGGACAATACCTCAGAGTCTGATGTGGTTTCTGTATATAGCCCTCTGGGGAATGTGCCAAAGCAGAGAACTTTCAGTTTCCATGAGTACTTTAACAAACTTAAAAAGACTTCATGGCTCTTTCTAAAACTGTTTTTACATTATAGGAACACTTCAGCATGTTGTAGCATTAGTGATTTATATGTTTGACAGCCATTATACTCCAAATTCTGGACAGCATAGCTCCCTGCTTCTGTTGCCACTCCCTTTGGGTAGGTTGGGAGCAGGGCTGCAGCCCCATGGCGTCCTTGTCATCATCTCAGGCTCCCTGCAGGCCCAGCTCTGACAGAGGGGGTGGAATTCAGTTGCCTGTACACAAAATTGTAAGGAGTTGCTTTCCAGATTCAGCAGGTTCTACAGGCACTTCACTTTATCTTCAATTTCTAGGAATTTATCTGTCTTCCATCCCATTCTCCAAGGACTGTTTATGCCTTTCACATTTCATGTTTAGGCGAAATGCACAAACAGCCCTTGGGACAAGGCCTGAAATGCAGATCTAAGATCAGTACCTCCTTTGCTGGTCTTTGTGCAAGACCAATTCTCTGCAAATGGCAAAGCTTTTTATTTCCCATGAGAAAGAAAACACAGAACTCTAGAGAAGCCACGATCCAGAACACTCCTGCTAAAGGATCTTTGTTATTCATAGCCCCTTGCACACCCATTGCTTTTAGCACCTCTTGTGTTCCCTACCCCTTGCACTCCCAAGTATCCATTTGCTGACTGCAGACAAGTGGACACTTACACAATGCTCTGAACTTTCCAGGGCTTGTGCCAGCACACCATACCAGTACTGCCTTGCAGCAGTAAAACCCAGGAAAAGAATCCCTCAGGCACAATTCTTTATTTCATGGTTCTCTTCACCTGTCCATGGCTCCAAGGAGAGCCTTTGTAGAGGAAGTCCATATCACAGAGTCAATTTGCTGCTGTACTCTTCAAATCCTGTTCCTTCCTTCATCCCCAAGTTTCAGCTGATAGTAG